GGAGAACGTCCTTACACATGTGGGAAATGTGGGAAGAGCTTCACTGACAGCTCTGCCCTGAGTAGGCACCAGAAGATCCACACTGAGAAACGGCCCTACAAGTGCTTGGAATGTGGGAAGTGCTTCAGACAGAGCTCCAACCTCCTTGCCCATCAGCACATCCACACTGGAGAACGTCCCTACACATGTGGGAAATGTGGGAAGAGCTTCAGTGACAACTCCACCCTGAGCAGACACCAGAAGATCCACACTGAGAAACGACCCTACAAGTGCTTGGAATGTGGGAAGAGCTTCAGTGAGAGGTCAACCCTGAGACGACACCAGCATATCCACACTGGAGAGCGGCCCTACAAGTGTGGGAAATGTGGGAAGAGCTTCAGCCGCAGCTCCCACCTGATCATCCACCAGATCATCCACACTGGGGAGCGACCCTTCAAGTGCTTGGAATGTGGGAAAAGCTTCAGTGACAGCTCCTACCTCCTCACCCACCAGAAGATCCACACTGGGGAACGGCCCTACAAGTGTGAGGAATGTGGGAAGAGCTTCATAAAGAGCTCCAATCTCCTCAGCCACCAGCGCATCCACACTGGGGAACAGCCCTACATGTGTGGGGAATGTGGGAAGAGCTTCAGACAGAGATCTCACCTGATCCACCACCAGCAGATCCATACTGGGGAACGGCCCTATCCGTGTGAATGTGGGAAGAGCTTCAGCCGCCTTTCCAGCCTCCTCACCCACCAGCGGGTGCACAGCGGAGAGCGACCCTACACGTGCTTGGAATGCAGGAAGAGTTTTAGCGACAGCTCCACCCTCATCCGCCACCAGAAGATCCACACTGGGGAACGGCCCTACAAGTGTGGGGAATGTGGGAAGAGGTTTCAGACCAGCTCGAATCTCCTCAAACATCAGCGGACGCACACAGGGGAGAGGCCCTTCCGCTGCACCGACTGCGGGAAGAGCTTCAGCCAGAGCTCCCACCTCATCAGGCACCGGCGCATCCACAGCGGGGAGAGGCCCTACAAGTGTGACGAGTGTGAAAAGAGCTTCTCCCACAGCTCTACCTTGACCAAACACCAACGGACCCACCAGTAAGAGAAGCCCTGCAAGTGCCCTCATTGCAGGAAGAGCTTCGTCCGCTGCTCCAATTCCATCAACCATCAAAGGACCCACATTGGGCACAAACCTGGTGACCCACATTCCAGGTGATCCATGCTGGGCAGTGTATTGGGTTTGCCAGGTTTTGGTAGCAGGGGGACTCCAGGGCTGGGTTCTGTGAGGAGCTGCCAGAAACTTCCCCATGTCCAACGCCTGTCGCGACCCCCACTGAGGAAGAGGGTGACCCAGGTTCTTGTTAATTGACCCCTTGGGGCAGATTAAAGTACGGTGAATGATTAGTGGTTATAACTATAAATAGTAGAGTTTAGTTTAGAATACTTTGGTTGCCATGTAAAGCAGGTTTGGAGCAGTTTTGGTTCCTGTCTATAGTGATAGAAAGCATAAAAATAACACTTAAGAAAATGTATAAGGGAAAAGAAAGAATCAGAGTAGAAAGATGCAGTCTTACCCTGAGGATCCAGCACAGACTTGGGTGGTGCAATTCCCACATCTCTTGGTCCAAGTGATGGTCGAGGTGTTTTACAGTTGGGGTGGGGGAAGCCCCTGAAACACAGTGAGTTAATACACGTTCAGGTTCAGGAACACCCAGATTCCTCCCCTGGGAGCAGTTTTACACTGTCTGATGTAACCCTGGGGATCACGGGGCACTTTGGGGGTCCTTGATGGTTTGAGGCCCCTTCTCACACATCACCCTGCCTCTCCCATCTGTGGTTGAGCCAGTTGTGGCCCCTGAGAAGGGATGAAAACTTCCAGGCTCTGTGGGAATGTCCCAGTCCTTCCCCAGGGGGAGTTTTCCCCCTGAGCCAGTTGTGTAAGGGAGGACATTGCCCTGATCCAAAGCACTGTCCCCGCTGGCAGGATCTGCTTCTGAGGGGCCTCTTCCCTTCTCTGGCTCCAAACCCAGCCTGTCCTCTTGGGGGGTGGGTGTTCCCCCCCTCTGTCCCTGGGCAGTTCCTTTGCCCATGGGCAGCAAATGAGGGGGGTTTTGAGGGGAACATGCAGGGCAGGGGTTGGGGCCGAGGTTGGGGGTGAGATGGGCATAACTGGCCTCCAAGATGGATCAAGAATTTGGACTCCCATGAGTCCTCCTTGTGTCACCCCACTAGAGGGCTCCTGAGGGGCCACTTGTTGCCTAAAATTGTCTCTTAAAGAAACCTCTAGGACCCAATTGGTGAGTTTTAGCAGCAGACATTCTTTATCACGATGTGCTGCACGGTCACACACGTCGGGTGCCCTGGGAATCAGTTCCCAAAGTGCACACAGAGGTGTCTCCACTGCAGCTGATATGTCAGCGTTACATGATTATTCATTTTTCATTCTCCACATTCCTGTTATGTATTCATGACATTTCCCAACACTTATTAGCATATATGCATATCCTTATAAGGTCTCTGAGGGGCTTCATCGTGAGTGTCTCATGGTCATCTGTGTCTGGAGCCCCCAAAGTTCTAAGTGACCGCCTTATGAACTTCTTTAAGACAATTCACCTGAGTTACTCAGTATTGCTTGGCTGCTGCCTCAGTTCCCTTCTTCATTGTTTCATTACTTTGCTTGGTTAGTACCTTTAAATCCCTTGCATCAGCTCTGTGGAGTTTCTATGGTACATTCTGCTGCAGAAGCTTAGTCCTTGTTACATCTCAAAACTCAAATATCACTCCCCTGTTTTTCTTAAGACTTGGCCATTAGGCCAATGTCTCATTATTCAAAGCATACTTTGAACCATAAGTGACTACAACAGCTACAGCATTAAATCATAATGCAAGATAATACACAAACATGGATTATAATTTTTATGGTTCAGTCTGTTCGCCTTTCCAATCAAATGGAGCTTTCTTAACTCGAGGATAGTGTGTCCAAGGTCCTTCTTTGCAATTGTAACTGCTGTAAATGGGGTCAACAAAGCCTGGAAAGGGCCTTTCCCCTTTGCCTGAGGGGGCTCAGAGTCTCCCCATTTGACGTGGACCCAATGGCCAGGCAGGGACAGATAGGCTGGGGCGTCCAATCCACTGGCCAAGGTGTCACCACAAATCTCTGGAGTTTCTGCAGGGTAGATCCTAAAGTGTCCATTAGTTCATAGGGGCTTAAATAGTCTCTTCTCCCAGGCTGACCCTGAATTCTCAGCAATGCCATAGGCAGGGCCTGCACCGATGTCCTTGAGGTTTCCTGGCAAATGTTACTTGTCTTGTGTCCCACTGCTGCAATAAAATCTGATCCTTTATCTGATGACATTCCTAGAGGAATTCTGAACCTGGGAATAATGCGGTTTAAGAGAACCTTCAGTACTTCTCTTGCATTGTTGGTGCAATAAGGACAGAGCTCTGGCCATCCACTAAAGGTATCGACTAGCACTAAAAATGTACCAATATCCTTCTTTCCGGGGTAACTATTTGCAGATAATCTCCAGGAAGATTTCCAGCTTTTGTGACTCCTACAGTTATTTTATTGCTAGTGTTTGGGTGGGGACCCCGGTGGTCTAGTGGTTAGGTTGCGGCACTCTCACCGCTGCGGCCCAGGTTTGATTCCCAGTCAGGGAAACTCCCCCGGGGCAGATGGAGCTCGTCAGCCCTGTAAGGCCATCCATCTAAGAGAAGGTCACTCTAAACAAACCCACGTCCTGAGCACCTCACTGCCACTGTCCGAGCTCGCTCGGCCCCGGCAGATGAACCTCGGGATTAAAGGGTGGGCTCAGTTCAGCGCACACTGTGTCTCACCTAAAAAATCCACTGCGCAGGCTCGAAGGGTAAAGACCTTTCCCAAATCATCGCTCGCAAAGACTGGCCATACTAGTGTTTGGGTTCATTCATGGTCTTTTTACATATTTTTTTCCCATATTTATAGGTGGGACTGTCACCTGCCCTGTAGAGGTGACAGCCCATCCTGTACCTTGAAAGTCAGCTTTGAGCAATTCCATTCACTGAAAGCCCTTTTTTATTGTACTTTGGGGCAATTTTAGGTAACATGACCTTTTCTGGGACTAAAGCCAGAATGTCTTTTTCTGCTGCTTCTTTTGCAGATTTGTCAGCAAAATGGTTTCCAATTTCAGGGAAAGTTTTCAATGCCAAATGTTGCCTCTTTTTCCTTAAGTCCAGGGCAGTTAGTTCTGCTTTCTGAGCAGAGACAGTCGTTGGGGAGGCCAAGATTCAATTCCGTTGTCTGGGGTGGTCACTGCACATCCTGTCACTCTTTTTCCCTCCCAAACAAAGCTGCTTCCATCATGTACAATTCCCAGTCAGGGTTTTTGGCTGGAATAGGCCTTGGCTTTTCACTGATGCCCAGGAAATTGTGCAAGCACTCCCAGAGCAACGTTCTGTCTCTCATAGGTAAACAGTTCAAATGATTTTGAGAGATCTGGCAGACCCAGAGCCGGGGCTCTCATCAGGAAATGCTTTGGCTGCTTAAAGGCTGCTCTTGCACCATCTGTCCAGGTGAGGACATTCTTACAGGCTGTTTTTAAAAGCTCACCTAATGGTCTTACCAAAGTCCATAGTGAGCAATCCAGAGTCAACACCATCCTGCCATTCCCAGGAAGGCACTTCATGAACTGTTCATGGCTCGGGGAGGAGTCAGGTGGCTTCTTCTCCTCCTTCACAGTCGCTGGATTTTCTCATTCCTAAACAAAGATTTCTTGGCTTTCCTTGCTCAAGGGGATGCAGGAAAAGACATCTTGTAAATCTAAAACTGTAAATGATTCTAGGTTATCATTTAAGGGAGTTCTCTCAGGTCCTGCCCTAATCAATAATCTTTCCCATTTGCTTTCTTTATGGGTACTTGTATTCCCAGTCTACAAGTAAATCATGCTTAGCAAATTTGTGTGCTACTGGAACCAATCCAACTTGGCTTTCTAATTTCAAAGGATTCTGCTTTTGCCTTATCAGTACAGCTTCTGGCTTAAGAGTAATTCTTACAGGGGCTGCCTTTCCTGATTTTCATGGAATCCCACTGGCCCACACGATAGGAACAACTGCATCTTCAGCTTCCCTTGGGATGTTGCTGCTAACTGGAGTTATTTCCTGCTCAAGAAGAGCTGCTGCTTCAACATATTTAGTCTCAGCAATTACAATTTCAATGTGCCCATTTTTAAATTTAATTTCTGCCTCAAGTTTTCCAATCAATCTCTTCCTAGCAAAGGTTTAGGGGAGTTTGGCAAATAGAGAAACTGATGATTGTTTTCCTAATTTAACCCCTGTCACACCAATAACCTTTGCAATGTCATTCCTTAATTCTCCTTCTGTTGTGTTAAGAACTGAGTTGCACCTGTGCCTGACTAATACATGGGCAACCCAGACAGTGGGGACTCCACCCCACACCTTTGAACCAGACAATAGTGTCAACATCATGCTCAGGATATAAAGTGGGGGAGAGAAGGAGGAAGAGGGGACCTTTGGAGTGATGGAGTTTGTCTTCCCAAGTCACTGTTCTCTGGAATGGGGCCCTGCTCTCCTGGAGGTGCTGACCACCTGCCCAACCATGGGAAGCAGGGAATGAATTCCTTGTTTTGCTTGTGTGTGCAGGTTTTGCTTGTCCTTATTAAACTGTCTTTATGTCAACCCATGAGTTTTCCAGCTTTTCCCCTCCCAGTTCTCTCCCTGATCCTGCTGGTGGGGAGTGAGAAGTGGCTGGGAGGGGCTTGGGGGCTGGATGAGGTGAAACCACAACAGCCTTTGTTGGTGTCCAGGTGGGGCTGGGAGTGTTGGAGATACTGACAGGTGGGATTGGGATGTGCTGCTGGAATTTACAGCTGCTGGTGCTGTCTGGAGCTCCTGGCTGTGTGTCAGAATCTGGTGCTCCTTAGTGGCTGCTCGTTGCTGTCACTGCTGCTGAGCTGCTCAGCTCTGATCACCTCACTGTGCTGTGCCTGGTGAAATAGAGAATGAAATAAAATATTAGATATTTAGCTATGAAGGTGTGACTTTGCAAAATGTAAAACTGCTTAAAAGTCTCTGACCAAACTGTGGGCAATTGAGATAAAAAGCTTAGAGAATGGGGAAGGCTTTTTAGCACGTAGAGAGGGGTGTATAACCTGAAACTGTTTG